CTCAAATATGGAAGCACTTTTATTGGTCCAATCTGACTCTTGTAAAGTGAGAGCATGCCAGAAGGAGTCTGGTATTTTCGGGAGCGATATAATGAGCATCTCAGAAAATATGGAGTCTGGTATTTTCTTGGGAGAGCATTGATATATTTTCTTGTATGAACCGAAACATCTCCAGTCCAGATATGGCAGCAATACTCCTTTATTGGTCCAATCTCACTCTTGTAAAATGAGAGCATGCCAAAAGGAGTCTGGTATTTTCGGGAGCGATATAATGAACCGAAACACTCCAGCTCAAATATGGAAGCACTAATTGGTCCAATCTCCAGCTCAAAGAAGGAGTCTGGTATGGAGCATATAATGAACTCTCAGCTTATGGAAGCACTACTCCTTTATTGGTCCAATCTGACTCTTGTAAAGTGAGAGCATGCCAGAAGGAGTCTGGTATTTTCGGGAGCGATATAATGAACCGAAACATCTCCAGCTCAAATATGGAAGCACTACTCCTTTATTGGTCCAATCTGACTTTGTAAAGTGAGAGCATGCCAGAAGGAGTCTGGTATTTTCGGGAGCGATATAATGAACCGAAACATCTCCAGCTCAAATATGGAAGCACTACTCCTTTATTGGTCCAATCTGACTTTGTAAAATGAGAGCATGCCAAAAGGAGTCTGGTATTTTAGGGAGCGATATAATGAACCGAAACATCTCCAGCTCAAATATGGAAGCACTACTCCTTTATTGGTCCAATCTGACTCTTGTAAAGGAGAGCATGCCAGAAGGAGTCTGGTATTTTCGGAGCGATATAATGAACCGAAACATTCCAGCTCAAATATGGAAGCACTACTCCTTTTATTGGTCCAATCTGACTCTTGTAAAGGAGAGCATGCCAGAAGGAGTCTGGTATTTTCGGGAGCGATATAATGAACTGAAACATCTCCAGTCCAGATATGGCAGCAATACTCCTTTATTGGTCCAATCTCACTCTTGTAAAATGAGAGCATGCCAAAAGGAGTCTGGTATTTTAGGAGTAATGAACCGAAACATCTCCAGCTCAAATATTTTTCGGGTCCAGCGATATAAAGGAGTCTGAACCGAAAAACATCTCCAGCTCAAATATGGAAGCACTACTCCTTTATTGGTCCAATCTGACTTTGTAAAGTGAACCGAAACATCTCCAGAGATATGGCAGCAATGCCCTTTATTGGTCCAAGTAAAATGAGTCTGGTATTTTCGGGAGCGATATAATGAACCGAAACATCTCCAGCTCAAATGGAAGCACTACTCCTTTATTGGTCCAATCTGACTCTTGTAAAGTGAGAGCATGCCAGAAGGAGTCTGGTATTTTCAGGAGCGATATAATGAACCGAAACATCTCCAGTTATGGCATTGGTCCAATCTGACTCTTGTAAAATGAGAGCATGCCAAAAGGAGTCTGGTATTTTCGGGAGCGATATAATGAACCGAAACATCTCAGCTCAAATATGGAAGCACTACCCTTTATTGGTCCAATCTGACTCTTGTAAAGTGAGAGCATGCCAGAAGGAGTCTGGTATTTTCGGGAGCGATATAATGAACCGAAACATCTCCAGCTCAAATATGGAAGCACTACTCTTTATTGGTCCAATCTGACTCTTGTAAAGTGAGAGCATGCCAGAAGGAGTCTGGTATTTTCGGGAGCGATATAATGAACCGAAACATCTCCAGCTCAAATATGGAAGCACTACTCCTTTATTGGTCCAATCTGACTCTTGTAAAGTGAGAGCATGCCAGAAGGAGTCTGGTATTTTCGGGAGCGATATAATGAACCGAAACATCTCCAGCTCAAATATGGAAGCACTACTCCTTTATTGGTCCAATCTGACTCTTGTAAAAAATGAGCATGCCAAAAGGAGTCTGGTATTTTAGGGAGCGATATAATGAACCAAACATCTCCAGCTCAAATATGGAAGCACTACTCCTTTATTGGTCCAATCTGACTCTTGTAAAGTGAGAGCATGCCAGAAGGAGTCTGGTATTTTCGGGAGCGATATAATGAACCGAAACATCTCCAGCTCAAATATGGAAGCACTACTCCTTTATTGGTCCAATCTGACTCTTGTAAAGTGAGAGCATGCCAGAAGGAGTCTGGTATTTTCAGGAGCGATATAATGAACCGAAACATCTCCAGTCCAGATATGGCAGCAATATTCCTTTATTGGTCCAATCTCACTCTTGTAAAATGAGAGCATGCCAAAAGGAGTCTGGTATTTTAGGGAGCGATATAATGAACCGAAACATCTCCAGCTCAAATATGGGCACTTCTCCTTTATTGGTCCAATCTGACTCTTGTAAAGTGAGAGCATGCCAGAAGGAGTCTGGTATTTTCGGGAGCGATATAATGAACCGAAACATCTCCAGCTCAAATATGGAAGCACTACTCCTTTATTGGTCCAATCTGACTCTTGTAAAGTGAGAGCATGCCAGAAGGAGTCTGGTATTTTCGGGAGCGATATAATGAACCGAAACATCTCCAGTCCAGATATGGCAGCAATACTCCTTTATTGGTCCAATCTCACTCTTGTAAAATGAGAGCATGCCAAAAGGAGTCTGGTATTTTCGGGAGCGATATAATGAACCGAAACATCTCCAGCTCAAATATGGAAGCACTACTCCTTTATTGGTCCAATCTGACTCTTGTAAAGTGAGAGCATGCCAGAAGGAGTCTGGTATTTTCGGGAGCGATATAATGAACCGAAACATCTCCAGCTCAAATATGGAAGCACTACTCCTTTATTGGTCCAATCTGACTCTTGTAAAGTGAGAGCATGCCAGAAGGAGTCTGGTATTTTCAGGAGCGATATAATGAACCGAAACATCTCCAGCTCAAATATGGAAGCACTACTCCTTTATTGGTCCAATCTGACTCTTGTAAAGTGAGAGCATGCCAGAAGGAGTCTGGTATTTTCGGGAGCGATATAATGAACCGAAACATCTCCAGCTCAAATATGGAAGCACTACTCCTTTATTGGTCCAATCTGACTCTTGTAAAATGAGAGCATGCCAAAAGGAGTCTGGTATTTTAGGGAGCGATATAATGAACCGAAACATCTCCAGCTCAAATATGGAAGCACTACTCCTTTATTGGTCCAATCTGACTTTGTAAAGGAGAGCATGCCAGAAGGAGTCTGGTATTTTGTAAAGCGATATAATGAACAGAGCATCTCAGGAGCGATATAATGAACCGAAACATCTCCAGCTCAAATATGGAAGCACTACTCCTTTATTGGTCCAATCTGACTCTTGTAAAGTGAGAGCATGCCAGAAGGAGTCTGGTATTTTCGGGAGCGATATAATGAACCGAAACATCTCCAGTCCAGATATGGCAGCAATACTCCTTTATTGGTCCAATCTCACTCTTGTAAAATGAGAGCATGCCAAAAGGAGTCTGGTATTTTAGGGAGCGATATAATGAACCGAAACATCTCCAGCTCAAATATGGAAGCACTACTCCTTTATTGGTCCAATCTGACTCTTGCAAAGTGAGAGCATGCCAGAAGGAGTCTGGTATTTTCGGGAGCGATATAATGAACCGAAACATCTCCAGCTCAAATATGGAAGCACTACTCCTTTATTGGTCCAATCTGACTCTTGTAAAGTGAGAGCATGCTCAGAAGGAGTCTGGTATTTTCAGGAGCGATATAATGAACCGAAACATCTCCAGTCCAGATATGGCAGCAATACTCCTTTATTGGTCCAATCTCACTCTTGTAAAATGAGAGCATGCCAAAAGGAGTCTGGTATTTTAGGGAGCGATATAATGAACCGAAACATCTCCAGCTCAAATATGGAAGCACTACTCCTTTATTGGTCCAATCTGACTTTGTAAAGTGAGAGCATGCCAGAAGGAGTCTGGTATTTTCAGAGCGATATAATGAACCGAAACATCTCCAGCTCAAATATGGAAGCACTACTCCTTTATTGGTCCAATCTGACTCTTGTAAAGTGAGAGCATGCCAGAAGGAGTCTGGTATTTTCGGGAGCGATATAATGAACCGAAACATCTCCAGTCCAGATATGGCAGCAATACTTTATTGGTCCAATCTCACTCTTGTAAAATGAGAGCATGCCAAAAGGAGTCTGGTATTTTAGGGAGCGATATAATGAACCGAAACATCTCCAGCTCAAATATGGAAGCACTACTCCTTTATTGGTCCAATCTGACTCTTGTAAAGTAAGAGCATGCCAGAAGGAGTCTGGTATTTTCGGGAGCGATATAATGAACCGAAACATCTCCAGCTCAAATATGGAAGCACTGCTCCTTTTTGGTCCAATCTGACTCTTGTAAAGAGAGCATGCCAGAAGGAGTCTGGTATTTTCGGAGCGATATAATGAACCGAAACATCTCCAGTCCAGATATGGCAGCAATACTCCTTTATTGGTCCAATCTCACTTTGTAAAATGAGAGCATGCCAAAAGGAGTCTGGTATTTTAGGGGCGATATAATGAACCGAAAACATCTCCAGCTCAAATATGGAAGCACTACTCCTTTATTGGTCCAATCTGACTCTTGTAAAGTGAGAGCATGCCAGAAGGAGTCTGGTATTTTCGGGAGCGATATAATGAACCGAAACATCTCCAGTCCAGATATGGCAGCAATACTCCATTTTTGATCTGATCTGTCTCTTGTAAAGATAAAGCATGGTAGGAGGCGTCATGTACTTTATAGATTCATAGGATGGATAGCCTTCTAAAGTGACGTCTGTTTGAAAGATGCTGCAAAGCGCTAAGCCACGCCTCTACAAGACTGCGTAAACGATTTTGTACTCTGTCGAGTCTAGAAAATGTGCATTGTGCAGTTCCGGCCAACTTTTTGACGAAGAAGGATGCTACGAATGCAAATAAATGTGGTGCACAATTAGATATCGCTGCAGACTTTTCACCGGGACTTAGTAAACAACATTTGCTTTGAAACTATTAGAGTTTAATTTAGAAAATACGATATCATTGGCTACTCTGATTTTATGAGATGGAGGTCAGGTTCAGACTACATATTTTCTCTCTCTCTCTCTATCTATTTCTCTCTCTCTATCCCTCTCTCTCTCTCTCTCTCTCTCTTTTTGTCACAAAGACAATTAAAATTTTTTAAAAAATGAATTAAAAAAGAGGAAAAGAAATATCTAGCAGGTGCTGTTGGAGTTTGTTTCGGGATCAAGAGGTCACATCCGAGCACTTTTTTCCTGTTTACGATATGAAACTGCAACAATGGCCAAAAGTATACACAACGAACGAATATATTCAACCTGTTGCTCTCTACACTCAATACAGTGTCTCACGAAAACACACACACACACACACAAACACACACACACACACACATCCACTCATACACACAACGTCTCTCCTTCTCTCTCTCTCTCCTTCTCTCTCTCTCTTTCTCTCTCTCTCTTTCTCTCTGAAGCAAAGATATAGTTGCATATGCACAAGGGTTTATGCAGCGACAAACACGCCGGTTTTGTAAGATCCCGGACAACAGGTGAAATGATAAGCAGTGCAGTGCAGTCTACATATCGGCATCTCTCTCTCTCTCTCTCTCTCACACACACACACACACTTTTTCTAAATCTCTCTCACTCTAACTCTGTGTATTCATAACTATTCAATCTATTTCTGTCTGTCGTTAGATCTATCTATCTATCTATCTATCTATCTATCTATCTATCTATCTATGTGTCTGTCGGTCTCTCTCTCTCTCTCTCTCTCTCTCTCTATTTAATTCTACCGTCTACCGGTAGACCAATCAATCTATCTATCCCAGTCAATATCTATCTATCTATCTATCTATCTATCTATCTATCTATCTATCTATATATGTGTGTGTGTGTGTGTGTGTGTGTGTGTGTGTGTGTGTGTGTGTGTGTGTGTGTGTGTGTGAGTCTATTCATATAAGTCTGTTCATATCTATCTATCTATCTATCTATCTATCTATCTATCTATCTCAGTTCATATCTATCTATCTATCTCTCTCTCTCTCTCTATATATATATATATATATATATATATATATATATCATTCTGTTCATATCTATCTATCTATCTATCTATCTATCTCTCTCTCTATATATATATATATCAGTTTGTTTCATATCTATCTATCTATCTATCTATCTCTCTCTCTATATATATATATATATATATATATATATCAGTCTGTTCATATCTATCTATCTATCTATCTCAGTCTGTTGATATAAATTTAAGTCTGTTCATATCTATCTATCTATCTATCTATCTATCTATCTATCTATCTATATATATATCAGTTTGTTCATATCTATCTATCTGTCTATCTATCTATGTATATTTATATATATATATATATATCAGTCTGTTCATATCTATCTATCTATCTATCTATCTATCTATCTATCTATCTCTCTCTCTATATATATATATATCAGTTTGTTCATATCTATCTATCTGTCTATCTATCTATGTATATTTATATATATATATATATATATCAGTCTGTTCATATCTATCTATCTATCTATCTATCTATCTATCTATCTCAGTCTGTTGATATAAATTCAAGTCTGTTCATATCTATCTATCTATCTATCTATCTCTAATTATCTGTCTGTCGTTCGGTAGATTAGTCTGTCTGTCTGTCTGTCTGTCTTTCTTTCTTTCTTTCTTTCTTTCTATCTATCTGTCGGTCACTCTCTCTCTCTCTCTCTCTCTCTCTCTCTCTCCCCATTTAATTCTACCGTCTACTGGTAGATCAGTCAATCTATCAGTCGGTCGATATCTATCTCTATCTATCTATCTATCTATCTATCTATCTATCTATCTAGTCCACTCACATCTCAGTCTATCTCTCCTTAAAACGTTATTGCCTATTTCACTCCCAAATTTAGTTTATCTTCTCGATTAGAAGGTAACACGATAAACTGCAACTCTATTCCTCCTTATACACAATTGTGTTTTTGAGAGCAATCCATCTTTAATACAAGTTTCATTGAAGAAGACTGGCAACCTACGTTCGTTTAGTTCTTTTTTAATTACTTTTTTCTTGCATATGTACAAGTGCCTCTCACCTGTGGACATTATGAATGTCAAATTTGTCCCTAAATCTGGCCGTGTTTGGAAAATAAGAAGACATCTTCTTTCAGCAATACCATCTATAGCAGTACATCACTCAGTCACGTGCCATTCGTGATAAACAATCATGTATCTTTTGATACATGGCTAAGGAGGAAGATTTTTTCTGCTGTAGGTTGCAATTTCTTTCTGCGGTAGCCATCCAAGTCTATAGAAGTCGGTTTCTCATACTATTTATCCATATCTGGAGGAAGAAGAAGCTGTAAGGAATTAGAGAGACGAGTTCGAATTCTAGTCGAATCCATTACATTCACTTACGTGCTAATACCCTTGGGAAAGGTATGAATCCTCTTCTCCCGCCAGCTATGGGTAAATAGCAGGACAAACCGGGTTCTATAGCCTTGGATTGCAACTGGTCTACCGCAGAAAGAAATGGCAACCTAAAAATCTGCCTCGTCAGTCATGTATCGAAAGATACATGATCGCTTACATCTGTATCACACTGACCGAATTATGTTATGTACTAGATAATGGACCATATGCAATATAGGCGAACAATTCAACTAGAAAATTTGAAAATAAATACAATCTATCTAAATACAAATTAGAGATATGTCACGTTCCATCTTAAATAGATCAATGTCCTGCCCACTGTGCTATATGTCCTTGAGGACACATGGCACAGTGGATAAAGCGTTAGTTGGATCCAGTGATACGACCCAAAGAGCGTGAGTTCAATCCTCGGTTAAGGCAGTGGAGAAATTGGAGAGGGGAATTAACAGGTGATAACTGATAACTGACATACATTAAACATGGCACGTGGAACTAGAAGAGTCTACCCCAGTGAGCGAAATAGGGGGTTCAGTTTGACATTCCAACCACCTGACGAAGGCCGAAACGTTGTAATAAATATGGCGACAAAGATGAGAACAATAGTCCGAATAATGTAAATAGTGTACATAATACCTCATCTCAGAAATATAGACAGATACTAAAGGGCCGAAACGTTGTAATAAATATGGCCACAAAGATGAGGACCATAGACCGAATAATGAAAATAGTGTACATAATACCTCATCTCAGAAATATAGACAGATACTAAAGGGCCGAAACGTTTTAATAAATATGGCGACAAAGATGAGGACAATAGTCCGAATAATGTAAATAGCGTACATAATACCTCATCTCAGAAATATAGACAGATACTAAAGGGCCGAAACGTTATAATAAATATGGCGACAAAGATGAGGACAATAGTCCGAATAATGTAAATAGTGTTTTGTGGCAATTTTTAACGTCTACTTGAGATTTTTCTGGTTAAAAAGTTGAAGAATTTTAACACATTCAACGTTATGGAAAAAATAAATAGTGAACTTTAGTGGGTTTTTTTTTTTTAGTCCTAGCATGAGAAAAGCAAATTCACGGATTTGAGCTAAAATACCCCGCCACCCCAAAAGACCCCAGAATGACGTCAAAATCCGCAAAGGTTTTTCATCCAATCATAATAGTCAGTTGTACTTAAATTTGTAACGTATATAAAGTTAGGTTGAAAACAAAAAGCAAATGTTGATGAGACAGCGTGGATCAAGAAAGCTCAGACGGTGAACCCAGTCAGACTTTGTACCCTCCTCTGTTGGGGCTAATAAGCAACGGACCTGGTTATCAGTCCATTACAAGTATTCATAAATACCTCAACGAAGGAAAATATACAAGTAATCGTGTTTAATCGGGCCAGGAGAAAAAAATGACAATAAAAAGTATTTCAATTTGAATTGTAGGATCATGCGTATTTTTTTTTTCATTGGCGGTTTTGTTATTGAATCACTTTGTTTAATTCAGTTTTTGTTTTTTGTTTTTTCATTTTCGAGGACAATGGTTGGGTGTGGAGACGTCTTCAATGAATGATTTGTCTTAGTTGTTCTTCTCTTAACTGAGGAGATTTGCTCTGCAACTTGTGTGTTTACGTCTGAGTCAAATTTGGCCGTGAATTTGACCGTTTCTAAACAACGGCCCTTGTGTGCGCGGACATTGAAAACCATAGACAGCAGATTGTTTCAGGATGTCAAGATGGCTTTTTTCTCCAAATCTCTACTCCTTCTGGGTTGTTTTCTGTTTCCTTTAAGGACTTTTCTATCTCATTTTATTTTTCATTTTATTCTTTTCATTCATTCATTCATTCATTTGTTTTCTTTTTTCTGTTTATTTTTTTCTCTTTGTTTGTCTTTTCGCTTCCTTCCTTCCTTCCTTCCTTCCTTCCTTCCTTCCTCCTTTTGTCCTTTCTTTTCTTCATTCTCTTCCTTCCTTCCTTCCTTCCTTCCTTCCTTCCTTCCTTCCTTCCTTCCTACATCCTCTGCTTCTTTCTTTCTTTCTTTCTTTCTTTCTTTCCTGTTTTTCTTTTCCTTCCTTCTTTCCTTCATTCCGTCATTCTTTCTTTCTTTCTTTCTTTCTTTCTTTCTTTAACCACCTCTTCCTTCCTCTACTTCTTCCTTCCTCCACTACTTCTTCCTTTTTTGGCAACTTTCCACCTTTCTTTCTTTCTTTCTTTCTTTCTTTCTTTCTTTCTTTCTCTCTTTCTTTCTTTCTTTCCTTCCTTCCTTTCTTCTTTCCTTCTTCTTCTTCTTCTTCTTCTTCTTCTTCTTCTTCTTCTTCTTCTTCTTCCCTCCTCTGCTTCTTCTTTCTTTCCTACCTTCGTTCTTTTTCTTCTTCATCTTCTTTCTTTCTTTCTTTCTTTAACCACCTTTCCTTCCTCACTTCTTCCTTCCTCCACTACTTCTTCCTTTTTTGGCACCTTCCTTCCTTCCTTCCTTCCTTCCTTCCTTCCTTTCTTCTTTCCTTCTTCTTCTTCTTCTTCTTCATCTTCTTCCCTCCTCTGCTTCTTTCTTTCTTTCCTACCTTCGTTCTTTTCTTCTTCATCTTCTTTCTTTCTTTCTTTCTTTAACCACCTCTTCCTTCCTCTACTTCTTCCTTCCTCCACTACTTCTTCCTTTTTTGGTAACTTTCCACCTTCCTTCCTTCCTTCCTTCCTTCCTTCCTTCCTTCTTTCCTTTCTTTCTTTCCTTCCTTCCTTTCTTCTTTCCTTCTTCTTCTTCTTCTTCTTCTTCTTCTTCTTCCCTCCTCTGCTTCTTTCTTTCTTTCCTACCTTCGTTCTTTTCTTCTTCACCTTCTTTCTTTCTTTCTTTCTTTCTTTCTTTCTTTAACCACCTCTTCCTTCCTCTACTTCTTCCTTCCTCCACTACTTCTTCCTTTTTTGGCACCTTCCTTCCTTCTTTTCTTCTTTCCTTCTTCTTCTTCTTCTTCTTCTTCTTCTTCTTCTTCTTCTTCCCTCCTCTGCTTCTTTCTTTCTTTCCTACCTTCGTTCTTTTCTTCTTCATCTTCTTTCTTTCTTTCTTTCTTTCTTTCTTTCTTTAACCACCTCTTCCTTCCTCTACTTCTTCCTTCCTCCACTACTTCTTCCTTCTTTGCCACCTTCCTTCCTTCCTTCCTTCCTTCCTTCCTTCCTTCCTTCCTTCCTTCCTTCCTTCTTCTTCTTCCCTCCTCTGCTTCTTCTTTCTTTCCTACCTTCGTTCTTTTCTTCTTCATCTTCTTTCTTTCTTTCTTTCTTTAACCACCTCTTCCTTCCTCTACTTCTTCCTTCCTTCCTCCACTACTTCTTTCTCACCTTTCCTCCTTCCTTTTTTTCTCCTCCTCCTCCTTCTTCTTCTTACTCCTCTGTTTCTTTCTTTCCTACCTTCGTTCTTTTCTTCTTCATCCTCTTTCTTTCTTCACTTCTTCTTTCCCCCTCTACTCCTTCCTTCCTTCTCTCCACCTTCCTTCATTCCTTCTTTCCTTCCCTCTCTTTTTCTTCCTTCTTTCCCTACTCTTCTTCTTCTTCTTCTTCTTCTTCTCTCAATATATTAACATGGAATAGAATACTCCTGAAGATAATAAAACAAACACTTAACAAAACGATACAAAAAAATAAAGTAGAAAGGAAGACATATTGATTTATAAGAATTGCATTTGGCAATTTTTGTCTAAAATGTTAATAAACCTCAGTCCGCAGTAATTCTTCTTTTTATTCAGAATAAGTGCAGAACTTTTTCTTTCTCAGTTGTCAGAAATCAGCGCAAGCGTTACAGGCAGAATGGCCTTTTTATAATATGGCTAAATTATCTTGAAAGTTTTATTCGTATCTACTGCTGTTGGCCAGACACAAATCAAACGGTTGTTTGTTAAACTTGGTCAGGTCAAGAGCAACATTCTAGCGATCCTGTTCAAGATAGAAGTTTACGTCTCGTAGCAAATTAATTTGCGCTGGTTATTTCCTAAACGAACGCATTACAGCCGGCGCCCACACCCTTCCCGATACTTGTAGTTCCTCTTCTCGTGTCCTCTTCGAAATGAATTAACGGTCGAACTTCGATGTAACCCTAGTGCCATATCTGTGAAGTACTCTTTTTTTTTTTGTTGTATACACCTCACAAGAAAACAAGATCAAGAACTGCATTTACAAGATATCATGCAGTAAAAAAGGGAAAAGTGAAACCAATTGTCTGCTAAAAAAATAAAAAAAAAGAGAGCACCGGGAATGTATAAGTTTTATTTGTTACTGTTGTCTATCCAATACAAGGCCCAAGAGCCACTCAGGGTAGAAGGTTACTGAATAAGAATATTGAAAGTAGATAACAGTTCACCCGAGACTTGAATAGGTAAAGATTGTACTTTTCGGGAAAGTATGCTCTCGGGAGTCTGTTACACAAAGTAACAGTTCAAGGGAAGAAACTGTCTAAACACTTCTTCTTTACCAATGGAATATGAATGAAATGAGAATGAATTGACCTTGTATACTGGTGGAACTAAGGCATGAACCTCGTTAAAACATTTGCCATGGAAATAGCGATAGATTAGCGAAAGTTTCATCTATGCGAAAGAAGTCTTCTAAGTGTAGCTTGATGTGGCCCATGGCCGAAAAAATGGGGTACCCAATGAGGATCAAACTCCCTATCCATTCTTAATTGTTCTGGCAAGACAGGCTTGTCAATGCAGAGATGCACTAATAATTTTCTAAGCGTAGTTTAGATACGGTTTTTTCTTTTATGTGCCGTGTCCCTTTAGGACGTAGGCGATCATGGCTCTCCTCTTCTTCCTGTCCCTTGTAGCTCTCAATAAGTTTAGGCTTTTTGTTATTTCTCACAGACCCTGTTCCGCCATAAACATGTTTAAGCCGGTTATGTCACGCGTTGCTTCCGTTTGTCTCTGTTTTCTCCATCCGCGCTGTGAGTATCAGATTCTCCAAGCCCTCCTTTCTCATTATCTGTCCCAGAAATTTCAGCTACCTCTTCCTGATACTAAGTATAACCTTCCACCTTGTTTGCATCCTCTCCAAAACCTCATCGTTGCTTACATGTTCGGTCCACGGTATCCTTAGCATCCTTCTGTAGAACCATGTCGCCGTTGTCTCGGGTCTCGTCTTTATCTTTGAGGAGACCGTCTAACAGTTCACTGCCGTAAAGGAGAATAGCTATCACGTAGCATTTCGGTACTCTTTTCTTTGTTACCAATGAAACCCTCCTGACTCGTAATATTCTGCCTAGCTTTTGGAATGCGTCCTTGGCCATCCCAGTACGTCTTCGAATCTCAGCGTCGCACTTACCGGCTTCTGTTAGGACACTTCCCATATATTGATTTTAGTGTCCTCGACCTGTAAATCGCATTTCGGGAACATCTTTTTGCTGATGAATATTGTGGATCACTCAGTGTGAATCGAACTCACGACTCAATTGTAATTGATCCCCCACGTCGAAGTTCCCAGTGATATACTAAACGTAGGCTTAGATATGGCACAAGGCTGCGAGTACGGAGGATCGAAATCACTACTCTGTTTTAATTGGTTTAGCGAGTCATATTTGTTAACCATGGAAATTTACCACCGCACGCATGGACTATTCCAGCTATAAACAGGAGCAGGTACTGCCTTTTGGAGAAGGAAGTGTCCAGCATACTCACTGGGGATTTTTTAAAATTGTTGCTTTATTCCCCTCCCCCCACAGACAACGAATTATACGTATGGGAACTAGTTAGGATTTTTATAGAGACAATGAGGTATTATGGTGATTGTAATAAGAAAGGTAAGTAAGAGAGCGTTGTTTGGTGTAAGGAATATTGTTTGTATGTTTGGGTCAGTGTTTGTGGCTAGGTAAGTTTAAAGTTAAGAGAGAACAAGACTGTCCGTTTCCCATTCCCCATTTTGGACTTGTGCCATATTTTCTGTATTTTAATAGATATAAATATCGGGAAGTTTCCAGCAGTCAGCTCTGACAGTCGGGCCGAACATTCTTGCTGTAACACTCTCGTTTGTATATGTTTGTATTACTGTTTCTGTTAATATATTTGTTTAACTCAATTCCTCTCTTTGCGTCTTTATCTCTGTCTCTAATAAGACCACAACACTATTGCACCACGTTAAAGTGCCCAACGATTTCCTAAGCGCTGCTTAAATGTGGCACAAGGCCGAAAGTGCGGAGCACCCAGTGAAAATGGAACCCACTACTCAATCGTAATTGATCTAGTAAGACAAGGTTGCTAGCCATTACACAACGTCGTGTTCCGGTGAAACGGGTTAAAATTATTTCTTCACCCACGAGGCTACATAGATGATTCTATTCTTGTCAAGACTGTCAAGTAAAGACTAAACAGCGCCAGCCCAAATATGGCAGCAATACTCAATTTTTGGTCTGATCCGATATGTAGAGCCTACGAAATCAGGTATAGCTGTTCATGTATACAGGAAGAAAAAGCCACAGACACCACTATGGTATGAAGTTAAAGTGGAAATATAGCAACATTATCGTATACGGCGGCTCAATGATTAATTGCATATCATCATCATCATCATCATCAGTGCCATGACCGGCTATGGTTGTAGGGTCGCTGAGTACCAGACCAGTTCCCTCCACATTCATGTGCAGCGAGTCTTGGGCAAGCAGACCTGGCGGCGACCATCCCTCTCCTGGTCAAACCACAACCGATGACTTCCAACATGAAGGCTCGCTTGGTTTGACGGACAAGTGGTCGTTGATTCCAGCAGAGGAACACTCCGGCCTGGCTGTTGGCTTCCGTCCAGTGATGCTGTTTCATCTTCTCACTGGCTCCATGCATAGCTTAGCCCAGTCTACCCCATTGTACGAGATGGCCGTTGACCCCTACAAAGACGCTTCATCTGCCCTTTTGGCGGGTCTTGTCATTCATACTTGCTGGATTGTCAAGCCGTTCTCCTCGCTAAAAAAGCCCGGTGGGGGAACCGTTTTATTTGCCGATAACCCGACTATGCTACAGATTATACATAAATAATCCAGCCATAGGCCGGATAACGTTCATTAAGATTAAAGATTTAAGGATCTAAAACGCTGTTGTCGTAACGAATAAAATCCGTCGTAAAGGTTTCGTGAAAGTTGTAAATTCGATATCTATACCCTCCTATCTTCTTTAAAGGTACGTTGTAATAAACATGAAGAAACTGACCTGTAAAGTCAATGTAAGGTCGAATACAGCTAGAAGGTTGCGATAAAGACATCAAATGCTATTAATAGTAACGGTAATTGTAATATTAACCATTTCGACAGAGGAAAACAACGCATAAGCTCCTTAGCGAGCTTGATAAAATGGATGTCGGAAGAAGAAGAATGAGATTGAGTAAATGGATGGCTGAACAAGGTTTAGAAGAAAAAACAAAAAGACAAAATTTATTAAGATCTACAAAGGACAGGGAAATTGTGGAGAGCCATGATTACCTACGTCCTGAAGGGATACAGCAGATAGAAGAACGAGATTGAGTAAATGGATGGCTGAAGAAGGTTTAGGAGAAATAACAAAATGACAACATTTATTAAGAGCTACAAAGGACAGGAAGTTGTGGAGAGCCATGATCGCCTACATCTTGAAGGGATACAACAGATAGAAGAAGAAGAAGAAGAAGAAGAAGAATGAGCTTGAGTAAATGGATGGCTGAACAAGGTTTAGGAGAAATAAAAAAAAGACCGAATTTATTAAGAGCTACAAAAACAGGAAGTTGTAGAGAGCCATGATCGCATGCGTTCTGAAGGGTCACGGCACGTAGGAGGAGGAGGAGGGTTGATAAAATTTAAACGTAAATCCAAAAATAAATTCCTGTTTTCATATTCAGCAGCAATTACCTTAAGTTGCGGCGTACAAGTCGACC